GTTTGTGAACCACCTTGCGCTAGTATCTAAGGGCAAAGTAAGTTGATTAGAGCAAAGAGATACAAGATTATATATGAATACAGGGAATATGAAGAGACGCAGTTATAACTACTGTTGCTGTTGTGGTTCGATACAGTGACGACTCGGGCAATTGCTCTGTAACGAGTCAGTTGTGTGTCCTTGCTGTCGCGCTGTATTTGTCAGGTCAAAGGTCACTGACCTTTGACTTTCGCGTAACCTCCAGCGGTTACTTCAACCTCCGAGGGTTGACTCGCTGGTGCCTCGATATGCTTTGCTTCGCTTGTGCCTTAGTGTTTCGACACAACAGAGGCGCTTAGGAACGATTGTTTCCAACAACAGTAATGGACTGTGGTTGTCGCGCGACGGGCCTGGGACTGAGGTTGGGAAAAGTGTCGAACCGGAGGCCCAGAGCGCGGGTTACCCGCCGAGCCGTGAGGTCGGGGTGCGGCGTGCGATGATGGCGGGCGGATTGTTGATGCGAGTGTTGCGAGTGGTAACGGTGTTGACTGTGGTGCTATAGTGATGTACGTGTTGAGCAGGGATGCGAAGTAAGGAAAATGAATTTTCCTTACAAATATACTGATGGGTGTGTTGTGGCACTTTAAAAACAATACCTAGAACCTTTCTCCATGCCTACTGACACTCTTATATAGCTGCACGGATAACGCCTCCTACATTGAAACCCTTACTCTTCCTAACTAACGTTACTCTAAGCTATGGTTCCTACCTTGGCTCCTAAAGCTTCTCTAGCTACTATTTTGACAGTATTATCCAGTGCCTTCTAAATTCTAGTGAATAAAGGTTAAATTGACTATACCGATCAGGGTTTTTCCTGTGTTTTTTTTCTTCACATTTCACGTCTCGGATCATGTACTTGCCCCAAAGTTTTGTATAAAACGAATTCCCTTGTTTCAGTGTCAGAAATAACCTAGGGGTGGTGTGGTATTGATCGCGGTACAGTATCAGAAAATGTCACCCGAACCGTACTTTCGAATGATACCTGGGGTTGACTTAGGCAGAATTGTCCGCCACCGATTTTCCGCTCCGGCAATTACGGCGACAGACAATCGGATCGCGCACTGCATCACGCAAACGCCGTCATGCGCTGCGTCCGCCGATTTTATCGTGCTGCGCGTCGCTACTCTAAGTTACGCTCTTGATGACGTGCGGTGCCACGTACCGCGACGCCATGAAATGGCCGTATCCGTTGCGGCGACTGCGTCGTCGTAATTTACAGTAGCAGGCGACACCAGGTGCGCGCCGTAGCAGTGCGTGACGCAGCGCGAGATGGCTTGCGCGTAGCTCACGCCAGCAGCTCACGCGCGCCACTTGTCGCCCAACGGCCCACCGTTCGCCCGTTCGCCACTGCGCGCAGCTCGTGCGCGCAGCTCGTGCGCACAGCCCGTGCGCGCAGCTTGTGCGCGCAGCTCATGCGCACTACCAACGGCCTGCTCGCTCCCAGCCCGTGTACCCATCAGCGCCAAGGCCCTGCCCCCCGTCCTCCGCCCCCTTCGTTTTCCCCCTCCCCTCCCCTCATCTACTCTCCCAGGTTTTTTCCCCCTAAGACCAGAAATGGTAGGTCATAAATTGGTGAATTTGCTTCTACACGTACTAATCGCTCTGCCTTGGAGCCTTTGCTCGCTCTCCCTCTCTCGTCTCTCCTTCATCTCCCGAACGTCCTTCCTTTATCCCACTCTTCATGCCCCATGCCCCATTCCCCATGATTTATGCCCATCTCTCGTGGTCGATTCCCCACCCCCACCCCCATCTCAAACCCCATACCTCATGCCTCATGCCCCATCACCCATCTCCATGCCCCATGCGCCATCACCCGTACCCCATGCCCCATCCCCGATGCTCCATGCTCCTTGCGCCATGCCCCATGCCGCACGACCTATCACACCATGCATCCCCGCAGGCGTCCCACTGGCGGCAGCACGAGCAAGGGGGTGAGTGCCTTCGCCTGGCGCTGCGGCTGCAGCAAGCACCACAAGAGCTTCGCTCTTCCCTTTCCTCATGCCCCATAACCATGCCTCATGTCTTACACTGCAGCTGCAGGGATCACCGGCTGTCATGGACCTGCCCTTCCCCTTCCTGCATGCCCCATCCCTTATGCACCTCCCCCCTCCCGTCCCGCCACGCCCCATGCATATGCCGTCAGGCTAACCATTGGCGGCACGGCAGCACGAGGAAGGGGGGGAGTGTGCTCGCTTTTCGCTGCAGCTGCAGGGAGCACCGGCTGTCATGAACCTGCCCTTCCCCTTCCATCATCCAGGTGCAGAGCGGTGCAGTCTAGTGCGATGCGATGACCTGCCTGCCCTTCCCTTTCTTGCACCACTCCATCATCCAGGTGCTGTGCGATGCGGTGCTGTGCTGTGCGGTGCAGTGCTGTCCATCATAATGTCCATGTCACGCTGCTCATGCTCCACTGTTCACATTGCAATGACCACAACGCCCCACCTTGCTTCATCTCCTCGCCCCCCCCACCTCGTTCCCCATTGCCATGGCCCATGCCTGTCATGTGCCTGTCATGTGCCTATCATGTGCGTGTCATGTGCTTATCATGTGCGTATCATGTGCGTATCATGTGCTTATCATGTGCGTATGATGTGCGTATGATGTGCGTGTCATGTGCGTGTCATGTGCGTGTCATGTGCGTGTCATGTGCGTGTCATGTGCGTATCATGTGCGTGTCATGTGCGTATCATGTGCGTGTCATGTGCGTATCATGTGCGTGTCATGTGCGTGTCATGTGCGTGTCATGTGCGTGTCATGTGCGTGTCATGTGCGTATCATGTGCGTGTCATGTGCGTGTCATGTGCGTGTCATGTGTGTATCATGTGCGTATCATGTGCGTATCATGTGCGTATCATGTGCGTATCATGTGCGTATCATGTGCGTATCATGTGCGTATCATGTGCGTATCATGTGCGTATCATGTGCGTATCATCTACTCATCTCCTGCACTGCCCTGGCAGGCTGCTCTCCCCCTCCTGATATTCTACCCGCCACTGGCTGACAATCATCTGCCTGGCAAGGGCCTGCCTGCCTGCACCACACCCGCCCAGCAGCCCGTCCGCCCACCCTGCCTCTTGTGCGCCAACCACACTCCCCAACTTGCATCCTTCGCACGCGCGTGCACCCCACACTGCCCCCTCCTTCCCCTCTGGAGGGGCCTTGCAGTTCACTCGGCCGCTGCGCTGCTGCTGCACACGGTATGGCACGACGATTGAAGGGGCATCTGAAAACGAATGGGTCTGGTATGGTGTGTGGGATATGGGAGTGAGGGAGTGAGGTATGGGTATGAGGAATAGCATGAGGAATGGGCATGAGGTACGGGCGAAAGGTAGGGGCGTGAGGTAAAGGGCGTGAGGTAAAGGGCGTGAGGTACGGTATGGTCTGATTTGTAAAACAACAAGGCAGACTATCACCACCCCCACCGCACTCCCCATCCCACCACACTCCCCACCCCCACTAACCCCACTCACCATCCGCTTCACCATCCTGCTCGCCTTCCACCTGCATACTCCAAAAGTCGGTCTCTCATCATTCTGCACCCCTTCCCCCCCCTTCCTCCTCCCCCCTCTTCCCTCGTCACCACCAACCTCTCACCATCCTCCTCGCCCTCCCCCTACTCCCCGCACCCTCCTCCTCCCCTCCCTGTCACCACTCATACCCTGGGCCACATGCCTTCAGAAGCTGACGCATCCCCAGGGGCTGACACGGATTCAGGCATTGCAGCTGGGAGAGAGCAGAGAGGGGGAGCGGATCAGAGCACGACAGCGGAGAGGAGGGGCAGCAGCAGTGCTGGCGGTGTGGGCTGACCACTCGCCCCCCATGTGATTCGTGCGCATGCATGGGTGCGCCAATCACCCCCCCTTGCTCTGTGTCCAAGCCACGTGTGCCCAGCAATCATCTTGATGCACGTGCTTGGTGCACCGATGCCTTTGGTGCATCGATGTCTTTGGTGCATGCATGGGTGCGTTAATCACCCTCCCCCTCTTCTCCTTTGTTTCTAAGCCACATGTGCCCAGCAATCATCTTGCATTCTTTCTATCCAACCCACCTCCTTCCACGTCCTCTACCAGACTCTGTGCGCTGCCGCCTGTGTGGTCGCAGCTCCATCATCTCCCCTTTCTCCCCCATCTCCATTCATACCACTATCCTCCCCTATCCGTTGCTGTGCCTCACCCTTTCACACCTCCATGCATTGGGCTTTCTTCTCCCCCATCTCCATTCGTGTGACTTCACAAACCCATTGTCTTTCCTGCATGGCGAACAGGCAGGCTGGCAGGATGGCGGGCAGGCAGGCAGGCAGGCAGGCAAGCAGGCAAGCAGATAGGTAGGCAGGCCTCAATCTAAATATTGCACACATCACATATCAGGTCAGGTTATTGAGGAAAGGGTGTTGGAAGGACTTCGAAAAAAAATCGGAGCCCATTTGTTGCAAGTGGCATGGAAAGGCGGATTAAAGCCGGCGGCCCAAATTGTTCATGCTTTTAAAAGTTGACCAGAGGGAGTTTTTCTGGTGTGTGCTTTGGCGAGAGTTTCCGATTTCGTCTAGGTTCGTTTTTTTCGCGAGACCCAGCCAACCCTCGGTTTTCCCCCTGGTGAGTGAATCTGTCTTCGAAAGTCCCAAATTGCAAGTGCGTGACTTTCAAAAGCTTGGACACTCAACTTCGTCAAGTTTTAAAAGCTTGACCCTCGCGGTCCGCAATTTAGGATGCGGGCTTCAATATCACCCTAGGGAGGAGAGCTGACATGACATATGGTACTATCAATGTCAGGTCAAAACAGATATTGTTCAATGGCTTCGCCCGGACTTGAACCGGAGACCTTCAGTGTGTTAGACTGACGTGATAACCAACTACACCACGAAACCGTGCTGAACAAAAATTATTTACTCATTTCACTATCTCGATGTGCCACAGCTGTGCCATAATTTCACCCCTCTCCCCTCTCTTCCCCTTACCTTCTCTTCAGAACCCCTCACCACCTACCCACTGCACTCCCCGCCCTACCATGCCCCTCACCACGCACCGCCTCACACCATGCCTCTCACCATGCCTCTCACCATGCCTCTCACCATGCCTCTCACCATGCCTCTCACCATGCCTCTCACCATGCCTCTCATCATGCCTCTCACCATGCCTCTCACCATGCCTCTCACCATGCCTCTCACCATGCCTCTCACCATGCCTCTCACCATGCCTCTCACCATGCCTCTTACCATGCCTCTCACCACACACTTCATTGCACCTGCACCGGACAGGGAGGCGCTAGAAGTGGTGGCTCTGCCGGAGCTGAGAGTGCTGCTGCCTGGAGTGGACACGTGTCTGCCTGCTAAGTGGCAAAATACGCGTATTGCGTATATACGCGTGTCGTATATACGCACTCGTTTATACGCTATACGCAAAGGTCCCGAGACCCTAGATACGCTATTTCGGGCAGGTTAAAAAAACATCGGGCAGCTAAAATAAGACCCCCCTGCAATACTACTGGGGTAAGTTTCCACGGGGGTTGGATTTCCCGGTTTTTTTTCCCGATTTTTTTTTTTCACCAACATTACAATGACAACTACTCATCCCATACTACTACTACTACACATACTACCACTCACGCTAGTCCAGATCAATTAACCCACCTACGCATACTCATCCTCCAAAATGTCGTCTTCCCCCTCCTCCTCCTCCTCCTCGTCCCCCTCCATCACATTGTAGCCCTCGGGCACGGGAGGCTCCGGGATGTTCCCGAGCACCACACCCAGCATGACATCTGCACGGGAATGCCAGTTGCGCACAACGCTCCAGTTGTGCGCAACAAAAACCAAATCCCGGCACTTGGCAGAGCCAAGCCGGTTCCGGCGGGCCGTGTGCACCCCATCCCACGTTGACCATCCCCTCTCACATGGTGAAGCCGACACGGGCTGAGAGAGAGTCCTGATGGCTAGGGCCGCCAGCTTTGGTGCGTCAGTGCCGTGCCACTGCCACCACTTTACCATGTCATACTTGCCTTGCTTGACCAAGTTCCTCTGAGCAATTGCATCCCCCATCCCGAAGCTTCCCTTCATATCCAGAAATGCCCTCACCCCGTCTTGCAGTTCCATCAAAACCTCGCCAATGTCATCCCCATCATCCCCCTCCTTCCCGTAATTGCAGAGGTGCTCGGCGTGCTGAGTGATGTACGTTTTGAATACCCTAGTGCACTCCGCGTCTGAGCCGAAGATGTCTTCATCCTGGTTCGCCGGGTTGAGAATTTTGCCCGCAACGTGCATGGGGCAGGCCAGGCTGTCGTCCCACCTGTTCTTCAGCAGGCGGCGGATGTTCACTTTGTCGGAGTAGCTCAGCTGCTCCTCATCCTCCTCCACCACTGTCCCCACATCCTCAGTCAACTGCAGCATCACGTCATACATCCGGCCCATCATCCCCTTGGCATCCCCATCGGTCTTACGCATTGCCATGAACGGGAGCTTCATCAGCTTGGAGAAAAACTCCGCCGTCCGCCACCACGCGTCATCAAGAACTTGTGACGCAAACTTATCCGCAGACTTCTTCCTATCCCCAACTGCCCAGCCCTTCCACACATCAGACACCACCATCTGTGCAAGCGACTGCCGCAGCTCACAGAGACGGGACACAACAATGTACTGTGTCTCGAATCTGGTTCCAGCCGGTTTCAGCGCCTGCAGCATCTTTGCACCCACTAGTCCGGACGAAGGAGCTGATCTCGCCCGCAGTGTCCACCACCTTGGCCCACGTCATCTTGCCGACGTCCTCCATGAAGAGGTCCAACACGTGGGTGGCGCATGGCACGTGTTGAATGTGCGGCCATTCCGCGATCAGCTCGTTGCACGCCACCGCGTAGTTGGACCCACCGTCCGTGCAGAACGCCACCACGTTATCTGGACCGACCTCCTCCAGCACGGGCCTGAGGATGCTGGCGACATAACCGCCGGTTTTGGTCTCCATGCGACAGTCCACGCTGTCCTTGAACACCGCACCGCTCTCGTTGACGAGAAACACGTTCGCCTGAGGGCAAACGTTTCTTATCAGTCATCATATCAGAAGAAATTGTCACGCCGGTCCGCTTCCAGCTCGCCTTCACTCCAGAAAGCCCTCTGTCGATGTTCTCGCAACAGAGTCGCAAGCCCGCCCCGCCGATGAACGTCCTCGTCGGGGGGACGTATCCTGTGCCGGAGTCCCTAATGGCACAAACGGCGTTGATGAAGAGGGGGTGCTCCGCCACGCGCTCCGGGATTCGACACGCCGCGAACATCAGCGCCAACGCCTCGTGTGCATCGCGCTTCGCAGCTGCCGCATCCGTCTCCAAGTAGTCAGTAATGCGGCTCCTCTTTCCGCCGCTGGTGACCGACGCAATGGCATCCGATGTCGCCTGGCGGCGCTGATCCGCTGCTGCAGCCTTAGCCTCATACTTCTTCCGGATGGCAGCCCGTACTTCAGAGGGGGCTTCCTTGCATAGCGCCACTTCGCGGCGCCTCATCTTCCTCCAACTCGCCAAGTGCTGCGCGCAGCGGGTGGCGGCGCCAGAAAAGACATTGCAGCAGTACCTGCATTCGTATTGCTGCGATTTCCCCTCGTCCACCTTTATGCGGCGGAAATGCTTGAACACCTCGTGGTCGACATCGGGAAGGTAAACTCGCGCCGACTGAACAGGACTGTCCGTGCTGGTATTAGGAGGGGGAGTGGACGGGGTCGGGCTAACATCTGCAGAAGACATTCTAAAAAGGTCTGTGAAGGTACATGGGAGGATGCATTGACGAGAGAGAACAATACCTGATTGTGAAGTAGCGTGGGATGGAGTGGTGGGGAGAAGTTGAATTGGAGGGAGTTTGTAGGTCGAGAGCGGTACAAATTGGTGGAACTCCAATGTGGAATGTCAAGGGCATCGCGACTCCAAACATTGGAGCCACGTAACCCAACTCACAGTCGCGGGGCCGCGAATTGAAAGCACGGAAACCAACTCACCTCCATACATTGAAGCCACGTCCAGGCCAGGGTAGATCTCGGACGTGCATTTCGAGCACGGCATCTTCTTCGCCGTGAGAAAACGAGTCATAACCTGCCGAGCCACAACCTGCCAAGCCACGACCTTCTGAGCCACAACAACCTGGCGAGTCATAACCTGCCGAGCCACAACCTGCCGAGCCACAACCTGCCGAACCACAACCTGCCAAGCCACACCTTCCGAACTAAAACCTGCAGAACCACCACCTGCCGAACCACAATCGTCACGAGCCACAGCCACCGGAACCTGCAGGCGGTGCAGCAGGCGTGGCAGCAAGCGGGGCAGCAGCATTAGGCAGTGCAGCAGGTGGTGCAGCAGGCGGTGCAGCAGGTGGTGCAGCAGGCGGTGCAGCAGGCGTGGCAGCAGGCGGTGCAGCAGGCGTGGCAGTGCACTTCCATTGAGGCCCACGTGCTGCCCTCCCTTGCCTGCTCGCCACTCACCACCCCACCCCCACCCCGCTGCTGCGGTCGCCACTCCCCCCCACTTCTGCGCTCGCCACTCCTCCAACCTCTGCCCTCATCACTCCCCCCGCTGCTGCACTCGCTTTCCCGCCCTCCTCTGCCCTCACCACTCCCCCCGCTGCTGCACACGCCACCCCCCCACCTCTATTGCAGTGTGCCCCTGCACCTAACTGCACCACTCTCAACACCCATCCCCTCTCCATGCCCTTCCATACCCTGGTGCCGCAGCACCCCATGTGCCACTGCCCCACGTTGCTCTTCCTCCCCAATGCTGGCCCGCCTGCCTGCCCCTCATAGCGAGACACGCTGGTGAGTGGGTGGGAGCAAAAGAGGGAGGGAGGGGGGCTGGGTGGGTGGTATGCATGCTTAGTTGTGGAGGTAGGAAAAGGAGGTGAGGCACGCACCTGATGGCAGCAAGCGTCAGTCTGTCAGCAGATGGCATGGCTGGGGGTTGCAACACCCACTCTCTGCTAGTCCTCACATCATCGTGCTGACTCTTCCCGTCCGTCTACCCCCCTGTCTCCCCTCCGCCGGGTCCTCATGCTGCAGCACAGCCTGCCATCACGCATCACGGATTTCAGCCACGGGGCATGGCTGAGGGTTGCGAGCGCTCATCATGGACTTGAGCCAGAACGTATGAGAAGAGGCATGACAGGCAGGCGGCTGAATTACTCCGTCCCAGGCTCACATCATCATGCTTCCTCACCCATCTGCCCCCTGTTTGCCCGCGCCTGGACCCTCATGCTGCAGCACAGGCTCCCAGTGCGCATCACGGATAACAGCCACAAGGCAAGGCAGAGGGCCGCACCATCCGCTCCCTCCTCCTCCCTTCATCGCACTATTACACTGCTGAGCCTGCTGAGGCAGGAAGGCAGGGAGGAAAGGGGGGAGGCGGGGAGGCTGGGAGGCAGGGAGGCGGGGAGGCAGGGAGGTGGGGATTCGGCACAAGGGTGCACTCTCACCCTCCGCACTGCACCCACTGAGCCCTCTTGTATTGGTGCTCATGCATGTGTTAAAGAGTTGAGTGCATGAGCACCCCTGCCCAACTGCTTCTACTTCACTCTCACATTCCCTGCTATGCCTGCTCGTGCTGATGCTGATGCATGCGCTGCAGAGATGAGCGCATGGGCAACTGCCATGTCTGGATGCATGCATGCATGCATGCTTAGTTCTGCCCTCCCAGCCTATCAACCACACTCACTAATGGTGAGCCGATGCTCATGCATTCGCTGCAGAGATGACTCATGCAGGAGTACCGTACCTGCCATGAGTGCAAGAGCAACTGCCATGAGTGCAGATACGGTATGTACCGGTATTGTATTGTACCCACCTACCCCTCTGTAATACTCCCACTTAACCCCCTCCTTATTCTCTCACCATGGACTGTTGTGATGCAGTATCTTACCGTACTTTGCAGTATGGCACAATTTGGTTATATACTCATGATATAGATACCGTACCGGTAGTGTTGTTTTTTTCATGCAAGCAATATTATTCACTTTTGTTTCTGGTGCTACCTGTACCAATGCTGCATATTCAAACTGCATGAAGGCACATCTGACACGCAGGAAATGTACCAATTGACCTAATTTTCCAGCCCGGCTCAAAAACAAAAGGAGCATGGCCATGAAATCTGCAGTTACTAAGCACGCATTATGCTGATGGATAAGCCCTGGTCTTATGGAGGCTAGATAACCTGAACGCTATGAAGGTGCACAAGGAGAAATAGGTATGTACAGTAATCAAGCCCCCTTTAACGCCTTCTGCAGCAGTTCTACTGCCTTTTCTCTCTCCCCGTCATTATTTGATAACAAAATTCCCTGCACAGTATGTCACACAACACGTTACAAAGTGTTGAAAACAGTCTGAAAGAGGTGAACATGCACTACCACGTTGACAGTTTCACATGTACATGCTTACAGGTTCAAAGGCTCCGGCCTTGAGTAGATTGTGCAGGCACATATCCAGGTACCCTTTTAGTTCCTGGACTTGGTATTTGTCTGCTGCTGCCAAGAGGTTCAATTCCTGCACAATCACACAGATAGAAGCAGCACAATTGTCTTCTCCCGAATCTATTCCTGGGCACTGAGACAAAAGCCTGCTGATTCTCACCTTCTGGGTCACAGTCTGTATGTGCAGCTCGCCTGTGTACATAAAAGTAAGTAGCTCATTCAAGGTTGCGCTGTTAACGTCCTTCATCTTAACATGCCGACTCTTTTCTTCCTGAAATCCGCTGCTGAACATTGTCGCGAAAACAGGGGACCTGCAGGGAAATTAACTCTTGCAATCTGTTATGAACCACTCAGAAAGTAAAATCGAAAGCAAGGAGAAAGGGCACTAACCATGTAGCAAGCACGCAGCGATGAGCAGGTACTTTAACCCCATCGCTTGTCTCCAGAGTGACATCACAAAAAGGCATGTCCAGCATGCCTTTCGTCTTCATCGAAAAAAGAGACCGCCTGTTTGCTTGGTCCTTGAATTTTTGTAGCTCACTGATTTGAGTCTTCAAGTTTTCGATTGTTGCATCCGATCGCTTACAGGGAATGCAGACAGCACACTGATAACAGCTGTTCGAGTACGTACCGCATATCTCGCATCTCCCCATTTTCTGGTAAGCAACAGAGAGCTTCAGAAACGAGCAAAACGTGAAGTCCCTCTGCGAAGGAAGAGGACGAAAATGTTCAGTCAATATGGCTGTCTGAATCTTGTTTCGTCAGGTCAAGACCCAGAACAGCGAGCATAGAGATCCTGGCCACATAAGCGATTCGAGTGATGTGCGACATGCGAAACAAGGTTCCGAAACATTTCGACGTGTCAGATGGCCCCGATGCACACCAGTGACGAGCATGCATAGTGGACGAAGCTACAGCGAGGAAGCTTTACCTGGTGATAGCACAGTGAAGAAGCTCACTTAGCACTAATCTGTTTGCTACTCTGGAGATTCCGAACCACACGCGGGTTCCATGGTTTCCATCACCCAACGCCATCACCGGACGAAAACCACTGCGAACTATTCAATCTCGATATGCAGAACCTTGCTTGCATGCCGTGGTGTTGAACCAAACCAACAGATGAGAAAACGTCTCTAGAGTAGCCTCTAGAGTGTCGCATCGCATCGCAAGCTCCAATGGAAGAACTCTGGTCTATGAACGAATGTGGATTCCTGAATGTGTACGGTAGTAGATCTGATGCGGTACCATCAGAGCTCCAGTGCACCAGTGATACACACAGTATACACATAACGAAGGTTTGCGCACACTGTTGGTGTATTGAGCTAAATGAATCTCAAATCGTGTCTAACTGCTCCTGATTTTCCCCGTGACATGGCTACGGTACTAGCAGATGAATTATGCGATCTAATATCACGTCAATTCCATTCCCTATGTTTCAAAACTCGGGTTGGAGGGAGGGATGTGGGTGGGGTTGGCTCAACAGGGCCCCTATACCCAGATGAAGACCCCATGGGTCCTAATCTACGAAAAGGGTTTCTCTATAGGTGGTCATGGTAGCAGGAATTAAAGTTTGTGGTACTGTCCATGACTGTAAGATACACTAGCTATTTCTGGCGAAGGCTATAACATGACTGAGTCAAAACTACAGTGCTAAACAGGGAAGAAGACCCTCTACAGTTCATTATGTACATTCCTGCCATCCACTGCTGAGCTGCACCGATTCAGCTGATAAGGTCACAACAGCAAGAGGCTGAAGAAGCCTGAGAAACTGGCAAGCCCTGCTGCCTGCTCAGCCGGACGAGCAGCTGACTAAGCAGCTCCATGCTGCCTGCATAGAGCGTTTCTCCAAGGTGACACGAGACTTGCATTTGCAGTACTTGAGGCCAAGATGGCCATGCATCCCTTATTCCCTCCGCCCTCCATGCTCCCTTCATTCCCTCCCAGTGTCACGGCCAACGCTGCCATCCATCACACTTGGCTCCGCGGCTTCGTAACTTCCAAACTGTCTCAAAAGCGGAACCTGTTGCATTTCACAGTGCCCACCACAGCAACGCCAAGCAGGTCCCCTTCCTACCAGAATTGCAGGCACAGAGTGACACCCAGCAACGCACCTCAACTACCCCGCACCTAGAACTGCTTCTTCGGCCGCTGCGACCGCCGCGGGCGCAGGTTGATCCCACTCGGATGAGGCGAAGCCTCCCCCACCATCGTGGCTGCTGCCACGTCATCCACTTGGTCTGGTGCCACGTCATCAAGCCCACTTGCAACCCCAGCTGGCAGCAGTGCAGCCGGAGGCAGAGCGCCGTGCAGCATGGCAGGTGGTGCTGCTGCTGCCTGCCTTGCCTGGCTGTTGGAGGGGCTCAACGCTCTGCCCAGACCCGCAAGGCCTGCTGTCAGCTGCTTGCTCCCCCACCACCCACTGCCCCCACCTCGCCCTGTCCCACCACTGCCAGCACCGCCTGCACTGGCAGCAGTGCCAGCAGCTGCACGCTCATCTGCTGCTGAGCCAGTGCTGAACTCCCTCTCAGCGTCCACCATCTCGAACTCACTGCTCGCTCCACTCCCACCACTCGCCCCATCGCTCTCCCCACCGTCCCCTTTCGAATCCGAGTCTACATTTCTGTACCGCACTGCCTGCCTCTGCACGCTCCCTTGCTGCACCCTCTGCTCCTCCACCTCTGCCCTCCGCCCATCGCCCTCAGCCTCGTCCCCCAGAAGCCGTCTCTCATACCCCGGCCTCTGCACTCCCCCGTCACCCGCTACTGACCTCAGCTGCACTGCCTCCCCTCCGTACTTCTGCAGGTACTTCCTCCTTCCCCTCACCTCCTCCTGCTGCTCATCCCCCACCTTCCTCCTCTCTGCTCCATCCCCCTTCTCACTCCTCAGAACCTCAACTTGTCTCTCCCTCCTCTCCCTTTCCTCCCGCCTTTCACTCCCCTCCAACCCGCGCATTGCTGCTGACGCAGCAGCCTGTGCTGACAGGGACGCCAGGTAAGCAATGAGCTCCTCGAAGCGAGCACCAGTGTAGGCCACGCCAGCACGCCAGCAATCCACAGCCATGTCCCTCCCCCGATCCTCCAGGTGTGCCAAGTGGCGGTCGATGATTGGCTCGTGGCGGGAGAGCAGAGGTTGCAGCATCGACCCATACACAATTTCCGTTCCCTGAAAATGCGCGCGATGGTGGAAAGGGAGGGTGAGAGGACAGAGTGAGCAAGGGGGGAATGAGGGCATGACGAGGGGGACGCAGGGGAGCTAAGTGGAGGAGAAAGAGCATGGCAGAAGTGGCAAACACGAGCAGGCGAAGCAGCAGTGGAGACAGAGGAGAAACCAAAACCGCGGCAGAAATCTGCCCCTTAGCCACTGACCTGTGTGCGCGGGTGCCAGAGGTAGACGATGAAGGCAAGCTTGGCCTCCAGGTACAGCGGTACCCTGGTGGTGGGACACACAGGAGCACATACCAGCACAGCGGCATGTGTTAGGCATTCGATTCACATGTAGCACACGCACACGCGTCAGTGTCCCATGCCCTATTGTCACATTCGTCACATGCGTCACATGCGTCACAGTCACATGCGTCGCTGTCACATGCGTCACTGTCAAATGCGTCACTGTCACATGCGTCACTGTCACATGCGTCTCTGTCACATGCGTCACTGTCACATGCGTCACTGTCACATGCGTCACTGCTGCATACTCCACGAGCACAGGGTCATTCCCAGGGAACACTTATGGGCGCAATGACTGGGAGGAAGATAAGAGCCACCATAAAACGGCGTGAAGGGGTGACGCGACGAGGGGGTTCAAAGCGACGTGAGGACTCACCAGTCCAGCAGCGGCGAGGCGAGGCCCTCGAGAAGCGCCAGCAGCGATAGTAGCACCCTGCGGTGGGGGAGGGGCGGTGGGGGAGGGGCGGTGGGAAGGGGCGATGGGGAGGGGTGATGGGGAGGGGCGGTGAATAGTGGCATAGGAATGGAATGGAATATGGTGGCAGGATAGACCTGGGATAACGGGCGAGGGAGGACGGGGTGGTGATGGCGTGCTGAGGAGGGAGCACGGACGCGGCGGAAGGGCAAGAGCGCATGGAGCTATGGAATGGCTAACACGGCGACTCTAAGGAACCACGAGTGCAGACGGGCACCAACATTTCCCAGCATGGGGAGGTGCAGGCGGGCGATGAAGCGTGGGGATGGACGACGGGGGTGGAGGGAACGAGGGAAGCGTGAGGTGCAGCGCGCGGGGAAGGTGTGGGGGCAGCACGAGGAGGAGGCGCGGCGCAGTACGAGGGGAAGGCGCGGCGGGGGCAGCACGAGGGGAAGGCGCGCGGCGGGGGTAGCACGGACCAGAACTGGCAGAAGAAGAGGAGCTCGTGTAGATCGACTCGCCGTCGCTGCATGGCCTTGAAGCAGCGGTACGCCGGATACCCGTGGGCTGCCACCATGCTGTGAGGGGCGAGGGAGGGAGAAGGATAGAATCAAATGCGGAAAGCGAAAAAAGACGAAAAACTGGATTCGACGCGCTATGGTAAGAGTGCGGGCTTTAAAGCTGGGATAGGACGAGTGGAGGGAGAGGGGATGATGGTGTGTTTTGAGTCGACTCAAAACACACCTTGAGGGGAAAGGGGATGATAGTCCAGCGGTCGAGTATGCGGTCACTGTAAAGGCTACAATCAAATGTGGCGCCGCCAACAGGAGATTGGCGGAGGTAAGGTGCATGCTATAATTTGATCGATCCGTAACATAAACAAAGAAAATGAAAAAAAAGTCGACTCTAAAGCAGTTAAGCTGCTCTCCGTAGGAAGCAAGTTTCGATGCCTGAAAGCAGGCGAGAGGCTTTCAGCTATGACTTGTTTGATATTAAGTACGCGTCAGCTACGGCTGTCTCCGCTTGTATAGAAATTGGCAATTCCCTCACGAAAGGCGGAGTTTATAAGCGATGGTGGTCGTCAGGCTCGACAGCGAAGTGCGGCGTTGGTCAAAGGCGATTCGCTTACGTGGCAGCTGTCAGAAGTGGTCTCGGCAGCATGACGATGTCAAGAATAATATATATTTCTATATATTGTTTTTGTAACTGCCTGTAGTGTAGACTAGTGTAGTTATATAATGTTCTGTTTTGGTGGTGCACCTTTCATTTTGCCTATATGTACTGCTCGCTCTATAGTGAAAACCCTTCTTCTCTTTTCAAACTTTCTCGACTCTAACTTAACTCACTCGAACTCAACTAGCTATGGCTCCTTAGCCTAGCTCAAGTTCTCACATGCTATCAGAGAGAGTTACGATCCTGGCCTTTTGCTTCCGCTGCTACTGAGTGTACTGCACGCCCCGTGGTGTGCCCTTTCATTCGCGGCCCCGCCACCCGCTCGCGGCCCCGCACCTTCTTAAGCGGCCCCGCCGCCCTACTGTCGCGGCCTCGCCGCCTCTCTGCTGTCGCGGCCCCGCCGCCCTACACTGCGGCCTCGCCGCTCTACTCCTACGGCCCC